CTTTCCCTCCCTCTACTTCTCAAAGCACTTAGCAAACATTTCACATATGAGGCATTTTGGATATGAGAATAATTAAGACATAACAGTAATGTGAGATTAGCGGTGAGAAACAGAGATGTAAAAATAAATGTAGCAGAGGGCCATAGACTCTGTGGTTTGTGATCTGCATCATAGAAGACAGGCAGTCAAGGACAAGGGTCTTGATTCTTTCTTCATTACCTGTCATCCCCTAACTTGACTCTCCTTCAGGATCTCTCATTTCTGAGAATGACAGCACTGTCTACCCAGTTGCCCAAGTCAGAAACCAGAGCCTCACTGGGGACTCCACCTCTTTCTTATGGCTCATATGCCATCATTCACCAGGCCATTTTGATCCTCTCTATTTCTTATTCAAATTGTACCTCTTAATATCACCGTCTACTTTAATTTGGCATTTCTTGCTTCAGTGTCTGCAACAGCCTCCTGTCTCTCTTTCTCAGTTGCCTTCTCTCATTCAGTCACCAGAGTGCCATGTTAAAAATAGTAATTACATTGTTCTAAGGGTTCCTCATAACCACTCTCCGATGTAAAAGTCTCATGATTCCTATTTTAGAGATAGGCAGATTGAGACACAGAGAAGTGAAATAACTTGTCCCACATCACACAGAGAATAAGAGGTGGAACAAGGATATGAACCCTGACTCTAATGCTAGCATCCATACTCATAACTAATAAATATACAGTCTTATACTATTAATTAAAATAAAATATTGGTCACATTATTCCCCTGCCCAAAAGCCTTCAGTGGCATAAAAGATTAGGAAAATCATGGCTCCTTGGCTGGCAGAAAGCACCTCTGTGACTACCCTTACCCATTTGTTTAACCTCTTATCTTGTTTCTCTTGTGATATGTTCTTAGCTTCTCTGAAAATTCTATGCATCAAAACCCTCAAGCCATTGTGCATCTTGTTTTTCTATCCTTAATACTAACCCCCTGTAATACTAGTCTCTGCTCCCATATTAATAAGGCTTCTCCCCACCCCTGGCTCCTGGAAGTGGATGGTAGGGTGTCCTTTACCTGTTCTTTCGGACCTCTCCCACAACTCTGTCATCCCATATTGGCTGCACCGTCTTCTGCAGTGACTAGGCCTGTTTCTGTCATTGAGAATATAAACTTGAGTTAGACACTGCATTATTTTATTATCAGCATTATGCTTAGTAAGTATTTTAAACAAACACACGCATACACACACAATGTAGTAAAACAGATTCCAGGCAGAAAGAACCATGTGAAGATCAAAGGCACAAAACTGAGATGTAGCATATTGAGAAACTTGAAATAACTTGGCATTTGGAAGTAACTTGATATTCTGGAATATTGGTGTTGGATCTAAAAGTATAAAACAACAAAAACATAGAGTCATATGAATTAAAGATATGAATTAGCAGAAAAGCTGTTTCTCAGCCAGCAGAAACTATTAGAGTAAGTATTAAGCGTATTCTTACCTCATAAGGATTATTTCATTGAGATTTTATGTTATAGGACTCATTTCTTTTAGAAAAGGTAGCTAGCATTATAGTTCATGTTTTTATATTGCTTTTAGTTTTCAAAGACTAATAAAATTTCTCAGCACTGATATATTTTCTTAATTAAAAATTCAGAACAACAGTATAATGATAATAACGTGAGGCTTACCACTCAGGCATTCTTCAACAAAGCAATCCGTTGGCTTCCTTCCTGTGGCTTCTACTACCATCTAGTGGTAGCTGGAAGTTTTCCATTTCATTGGATTATGATGCTCTGAACATGAACAACAAATACTTTTCAGTGTTCCTCTGGGGAAATGCTTGAAGACAAATGCAGATTATGGTGTATTGTATTGTATTATTTTCATTGTCTGAGTGTTCAGTGTAGGAAAGAACTGTTATTGGAATTAATGTGCCTAGGAAAGAAGATTCTAAAGTAAGCTTTTTCATCAGGACAGTGGCTAAATATTAAAGTCTTTCAGTAGCAGATGTTATAAGCTTCTGTTGCCCTAATACAACATTGATTGGACCCTCATAGATAAGAAGAGCCTTGCCTTGTTTCTTCTTTCTTTCTCCAGCACATACTACAGTGCCTGGCACATAGTATATTTATAACTGTTGAAGGAATTAATGAAAAGAGAGAAAGAAAGAAATTGGAGGCACCAAAATTGAAATGTTAGCATTTTTCCCTGTAAAGGAATGGCTTGAATTTTTATATTACAGAGATTTGGAAAAGCAGCACATTTTAGTAGATGTACTTTTAAAGGATATAAAGGTGGTTTGTTTGCAGGTTTGCTTGTTGGTCTAGCCATGTCCTGCTTACCTGCGAATTAAATGGAAGTAGCATCCTCTCTCAGATGATTGGGTTCAAGTCGTTATGTGTGGTTAGACAAGCATAAATGAACCAGTTGTGATGCTAGGGAAAAGGTAATTCATCACCTCCTAATTCATTGAAAGACTAACTTAAAATGAAGAATAGCTCAATTGCATTTTACAATTTGTGCTAAACAAATCTAGATGGAAGCATTAAAATTTGCATTTGACACCTACTAAAAGTAACCATACATTTTGGTTTGCATGCAACAGTCTTGGTTTACTCTTGTGACCTAACATAATTATTATTAGAACTCCTTTTATTTTTCAGAAGTGTTCTTGTTTAAATAATGAATTATGTAATCACCTATTTATATCAGTAGAGTTGAAACACAATTTTCTCACTTTTTCATTAAAATTTTGAAAAGTATTAAGTCATAGCTGAAGATATTAGGTGCCATTCATTAAAATAAAACATATTTAATGAGGTACAATTTGCATACCATAAAGTTCATCCATTGTAAATGTTCAATTGCATGATGTTTAGTAAATTTGTAGTTTTTCAACCAACATCACAATACAATCTTAGAGCAATTTTATCATCCAAAACAGTTCCTTTATTTGCAGTTAATCCCCAGTCCTAGGCAAACCACTGATCTGCTTTTTGTCTTGACAGTTTGCCCTTTTTGGACAATGAACATAAATATAATCATGTAATATGTAATTTTTTGTATCTGCCTTCTTTAATTTAGCATAATATTTTTGAAGGTCATCATGTTGTAGCACATTTGAGTAGCTTATTCGTTTATATGGCTAACACTATTTCATTATGTGGATTTATAGCATTTTGTTTTCATCAGTTGGACATTTGGATTGTTTTCAGTTCTTTTGCTATTATGAGTCATCCTTCTATAAACATTCACATATGTCTTTGTGGGAACATATATCTTTTTAAGACAGATTTATAGGAGAGGATTTGCTGGGTCATATGATGTCATTATTATCATCATCATCATGACAAGTTCTGTTTAACTTTTTAAGTAATTGCTAAACTGTTCTCCAAAGTTGTACCATTTTATATTCTCTCCAGCGATGTATAAGAGTTTGTTTTCCATATATCTGACAACACTTGGTATTGGCTGTCTTTTTGATTAGAGCCATTCTAGCAGGTATTAGATAGTATCTCCTTCTGATTTTAACTCGCATGCCTGTAGGGACTAATAAATGTTGAGAACCTTTTCATGTGCTTATTAGTTATTCATTTATCTTCTTTGGAGAAATGTCATTTTAAGTCTTCTACCATTTTTTTAGTTATGTTGTTTGTCTTCTTATTGAGTTGGGAGAGTTCTTTGTACATTCTAGATAAAAGTCCTTTATCAGATATATGATTTGCAAATATTTTCTTCCAGTCTGTAGTCTTTTCATTTTCTTCATGGAATCTTTTACAGCATGAATTTTTAATTTTGATGAAGTCCAGTTTATCAAAATTTATTCTTTTATGAATAATGTGTTTGGAGTCATATCTAAGAACTCTTTACTTTAACCCTATGTCATGAAGATTTTCTCCAATATTTTTTTCTAGGAGATTTTGTAGTTTTAGCTCCTTCAGTTTAAGTTTATGGTCCATTTCAAATTAATTTTTGTGTATGGAGGTAAGGAACTAAATACATTCTGTTGCTTTTGGATATCCAGTTGGCACAGCATCATTTGTTGAAAAGACTATTCTTTCCCCCATTGAATTGACTCAGCACATTTGTCAAAAACCAGTTGACCATAAGTATAAGGGTTTATTTCTGGACTCAGTTCTCTTCTTTTGACCTGTATGCTCTTTATGCACCAGTATCACACTGACTTGACTGCTGTGATTTTATTTTTATATAAGCTTTGAAATCAGGTACTGTTAGATCTTGCTTGAAAGTCCTGCCCTACTGTCCCGAGATACTTCAATTTTGTAAGTAGTAAAGTTTTTCATACTCCCTATGTGTGTGTAGCATCATCAGTCTGAACATCCAAATCAAATTTTGGGTGCCCCACCACACATACCCTGCTTTTGCAGGGTGATCATAATAATCCTCCAACTTTGTTCTTTTCAAAATTATTTTGGCCATTCTAGGTCTTCTGTGTTTTCATGGAAATTTTAGAATGTTTGTTAATTTTTGCCCCAAAAGCATGCTGTATGGAATTTATAGATCAGTTTGGGACTGCCATCATGACAGTTGTGAATCTTCTAATCCATGAACATGGACTCTCTCTGCATTTTAGATAATCTTCAATTTTTCTTTGCATTGTTTTGTAGTTTTCAGCATACAAGTTTTAGTCTCCTTTCATTAAATTAATTTCTAAATATTTTATTCTTTTTGGTCCTATTTTGAATGCAGTTGCTTGCTTTTTTTCATTTTTAGATTGCTCATTGATAGTATATAAAATACAGTTGGCATTTTTATATACTGAACTTGTATCTTTTGCCCTTGCTAAAACTGTTTTTTATTTTTAGTTTTAGTTTTGTGCGTGTGTATGGATTCCATGGAATTTTCTACATACAGGATCATGTCATCTGTGGATAAAGACTGTTTTACCTTTTTCTTTTCCATATGTTGGCTATCTTTAACTCTTTTTTCTTTTTGCACTTTATAGAACCTCTAGTACAATTTTGATTAGAAGTGGCAAGAGCAGACATTCTTTTCTTGTTCTTAATCTTTAGAGAAAAGCATTCAGTTTTTCATTAAGTATGATGAGAGCTGTGGGTTTTCACAGATGCCCTTTATTAGGTTGAGGATGTTCCATTTAAGCCCTAGTGTGTTGAAAGTTTTTATCATGAGTGGGTACTGGATTTTTCAAATGCTTATTCATGCATCTGCTGAGATGATCATGTGGTTTTTCTCCTGTAGTCAATTAATATGGTGTATTACATTAATTGATTTTTTGATTGTTAAATCAACTGTTTACATCTGGGATAAATCTAACTTGGTCACATTGTATAATCCATTATGCATGTTTCTGGATTTGATTTGCTAACATTTTCTTGAGGATTTTTGTACCTATGCCCATTATTTTCATACTTGTTGGTCTATAGTTTTCTAATTATATTTTTGGCTTTAATATCAGGGTAATGCTGGCCTCATAAAATTCAATAGGAAGTATATCCAATTCCTCTTTTCTGAGTGAATCTTTCTTGTGAAAGATTAGTATTCCTTCTTTAAATGTTTGATAGAGTCTCTAATGAAACTATCTGGATCAGGAATTTTACTTTGGAAGATTTTTAATGGCTAATTTAATTTCTTATTATATCTAGGTCTATTCAAATTTATTTATTTATTTATTTATTTATTTATTTATTTATTTTTTAGTTCATTTAGGTAATTTGTGCCTAAGAATTCATTTATTTCTTCTAAACTATCTAGTTTGTTGCCATAAATTATTTATAATATTCCCTTTAATCCTTTTTAATTTCTGTAGGAATGATAGTAATTTTTTTTCTTGAGTTTGGTAATTTGTGTAGATATTTATCTCAGATCGTCTCGGTAATTCTGGCTTGAGGTTTGTCAATTTTGTTGATATTTTCAAAGAATTGACTTTTATTTTCCTTGATTTTTCTCTTTTGTTTAATTATTTCTAGTCCAATTTTTATTATTTCATTTATTCTGCTTAGGTTGAGTTTTATCTTGCTCTTCCTTTTCAGGATTGATTTCTTCCTTTCTGTTGCAAGCATTTAAAGCCATAAATTTCCCCCTTAGCATTGCTTTAGCAACATCTTATAAATTTTGATGTTTTGCGTTTTCATGTATTTCTTAGTTTTCAGCAGGTTTCTTGTGAGGTGCCTACCTGTAGATCTCTGTATCTATCCTAATTACTATTTGTTTAGCTTATTAGATGTGTAGATTAATATTTCTCAACAAATTTGAGGAGTTGTGGCCATAGTTTCTTCAAACTTTTTCCTGATTTTTTTTTTCCTCTTCTTTTTCAGGAAGACCCATTACATGTATGTTAGTATCTGTTATCTCATAGGTCTCTGACCTCTGTTCAGTTTTTTCTTCAGTCTTTTTCTCTCTGTTATTCAGATTGGATAACTTCTATTGCTCTATCTTCAAGTTTACAGTTTTTCTTCTACCAACTTAAACATTCTTTTAACCCCCTCTAATGAATATTTCACTTCAGTTATACTTTTCTACTTTAGATTTCATTGTTTTAATCTGATCATTTTATAATTTGTCTCCTTAATAAGAATCTCTATTTGTTGATTTATTGTTGTCATACTGTCCTTTAATTCTTTAAACATGGTTTTCTATAGTTCTTTGAATGTATATTTATAAATTTGTATTTTTAAATATAAATACACTTAAAATGGCTGCTTTGAAGTCATGGTCTGATGAATAAAATAGCTGGACACATTCAAAGACAATTTGTATTGAGTTGTGGCTTTTGTATTGTTTTTTTCTCCTGAAAATAGTCACACTTTTCTGATTCTTTGCCTGTCTTGTAATTTTTTATTGAAAAATATTTTCTTGAAAATATATTGTAGCAACTCTAGATTCTGATTCCCTCCCCCCAAAAAGAGGTTGATGTTATTACTGTTTGTTTGCTTAAAAAAGTGCCTGAGCTAAATCTGTGAAATTATGTCCCCTGTGGTGTGTGGCTGCTGCTGTCTCTTCCCAGTTTTTTTTTCTTTTTATTTCTTTTATTTTTAAGCCTAGCTTCATGGGGGTCATCTCTATATCTACATAGCTTAGCAGTAACTAATGATTGGACAGAGATCATACTCAAGCACCTTGATTAAGATTTCCGTGTTCTGCCTAATGAATATATGTATGTATACAGTAGCACATTCAAATTTTAGGTCTTTTGGAGTCTTCCCCAGCTTGTACTTTCTGCTGAGTCTTTTCACATCTCCTCTGCATAAGCTTTCAGCCTCAGGATAGACCAGGAGTATTTGACTAGTTTGCGCTCTTTTGGGTCTCTGCCAAGCATACACACAGCTTCAACCAAGCATATTCTTGCTGCAGTCATGACCACAACCTCAAACCAGCATAGCCTCTGGCCCTTCCTGCTCACACACTACTGAGTTTGTCAGTTCCCCATCTAATCACTCCCCACCCTAAATTAAGTGAGCTCCCTTCAGCTGTGTAATTTTGCTGCCAGTCCTTGTGGCCTGCCCTAACCTGGAAGAACCTTCATGGCCATCAGTCTGTGTGTTGGGAGGTGAAGGAATTGGAGCAGCTCCAGGCTCAGGGAACAACAACATTTTTATTCCCTGAATTCTGCAGTTTTTCAAGCATCTTCTTACATTATTATATGCCTTTGGTCATTTCCTGAGTGCTGAAATGGTTAGTTTTATTCATCTAGTCCAGTTTTACAGTTGCTTTTCAAGAAGATTTCTAGATCTCTTCACTTGACCATAGCCAGAAGGGCTTCCTAGCATTCACTTTTAAATTATGTAAAGCATACATATTATTATTTTAATTAAAAGTTTTCCTTTATTTAAAACTACCAAATAATTCCCAGCCATGATAGCTCATTGTGGCTCAAATGCCATTAGCCCTACAGGTGGAAAGTGAGCCCAGAAACAGGAAGTCTTGGTATAACCATCACCCTCAGATTCCTTTCAAAGTGAGAAAGCAGTTCAACCGCCCCAGTGTCTGTGATTTACAGCAGTTTAACAGGCTAGAAAGTGAAGCCTTTATCTATTTATTTTACCACAAATGTAACTATATGACATTTATGAGGTTAAGATGTGGGACACAATCTTTTAAGGTTCTTAGCCTTTCATTCTCCTGTACCAGATTTGTTTTCGGCTATAATCCAGGCAGACAAAAAAATCCCTCTTTTGAAGTGCCTTGCCTGATAAGAGTCAGCAGCTTTAACTGCTTTAGCTTTAACATGTGAATAGGTTCTCTCCCTTACCTGCTGCAGTGGTCTCTTACCATTCTTTTTTATTTCTTGCCCTTGATTGTGAGAGTAAGGCATACTTTTTATAAAAATGTGGAAAGAACAAAAATAAAAGATTACTTGTTCTTTAAACTATTCAGCAACATCAGTATTGATAGTTTAATTTGTTCCCTTCTAGTTTCATGTTTGTAATATACATAATTATGACCTTACTGCCTGTATTATTTGTAACTTGTTTTAAAAATTTAAAGTTAATTTAAACATATAGTAGAAATTTTGGAAATCCAGACATGTATGTAAGCTGTTTACATATACCTGGTTGTTTTCTTCTAGTTTTTCTGATTTGCACATGTATATTTAGTTTTTTTTTGTTTGTTTTCATCAAATATGATCTTATAGTATTATAGTTGTTTAAATTACATATTTGTTTTTACTTGATTGCATATTCATTTTCCATGTTGTTATAATTATATAAACAATTTTAAGTGGATGCAGGATATTTCATGGAAATGTAATAATTTTTAACTTTTCTTCCACTCTCAGATATTTAGATGTTTTTTGCTTTTTAGAGGGAAAACAAGGATATATCCTAAAGAAATAATCCTAAAATTATTTGATATCAATTATTTGAAAGCATCAAATGCATGAATAACTTGAGGCTCACCAAACACTGACCCAGAGTGGTTATAACAGTGATCACTGGCAACAGCACTCGAGAGTGACCATCTGTCATCACCCTTGGCATTAGGAAGCCTTTACTTCTCTCTCACTTGCTGGGTACAGCAGTTTTAAAAACTATGTAGATTCAATTATTTGTACCAAAGCTCAAAGTTATTTGCACTTGAAAAATACATGCAAGCTTGTCAACAAAGGGTAGAGGAGGGATAGCCTGGATAATAATTCTTGGTTTGTATGAATACTTTTAATAGTACATAGATGAACATGACAAACAAACAGAGACTCATAGACACGGATCATAGTTTAGTGGTTAGTAGAGGAAAGGTGGGAGTGGGGCAGGTAGATACGAGTAAAAGGGGACAGCAACTATGGTGACAGAAGGAAATTTAACTTTGGGTGGTGAACACACAATGCAATATATATATGATGTATTATTGAAGGATACACTTGAAACCTACATGATTTTGTTAACCAATGTCAACTCAATAAATTTAAGTAAAAAATAAGTGAAAATAAATAAAAATAACACATAAGTGAAATCCTTTTAGACGGATTAGTACATATGAGAGATCCTATTTTAAAGGTTTTCCTGTTACAATAAATAAAAACTTTGTTTTACAATTACAGTTTTGTTAGCCTGAATCTCTTGAAGATGAAATGTATGCATGCATCTCTCATTTAAAATGTGCATGTGTGTATAAATTTTAAAGAAATCATTTGTTACTTTAATGGAATGCAATACTTTTTCTCTTTCCTTTTCTTACCATATAGGCTCTGAAGAAGCTGAAGAAAAGCAGGACAGTGAAAAACCACTTTTAGAACTATGAGTACTACTTTTGTTAAAGTAAGTCTTTAAAAATGAAACTGTAACAACAGACTAGTGGAATATGGAACATTTCTTTGAGTCAATTTAAAGTAAAATTCAAAGAATATGAGTGTGAGTATGTAGCCAGATCTGTCCTGTTTACATGAATTTACCAGTCACATTTTATTACTGTATAATTTCTTTACATTTTCTGTATGGATGTAAATTTGTGAAGCATGAAAAATACCAGAGTCCCAAATTTCTAAATAAGGGTGCATTCATTTTTGTTTACTTAGCCAGAATGTCTCTGTATCAGACATTGTTTAATTACAAACCCTAACTTAGGTGTGCTGTGAGGCAGCAGTCCTATGAGATGTGGTACTGTTATTATCTCCATTTACACTTAAGGCAGGTGAGACTTAGGGTCTCACAGCTAGCAAGTAGCAGAGCCAAGACTCAAGCCTGCCCCTCTGTTCCAGTATTCACTCTCGCCCTGCATTGAGATGTCTCTCAAGTCTTTGGAGCTTCCGGGGTGAAAGATGTGATCTAGCCCGAGCAGCAGCCTTGATCTGTCTCCAGGTGGGGCATGTTGTTAAATCCTTTGAAATCATCAAAGGAAAACATTTCAGCCTCAGAAATGCAAGCAGATAAACATAAAGTAAATTGTGGTAGCAGCAACTCTGCTTAATTATTTAAACATAGAAAAGAGAGTAGATTTTAAAAGTTCTCTCACAAGCAAAAAAATTATGTAACTGTATGGTGATGGATATTAACTAGACTTGTAGTGGTGATCATTTCTTAATATATACAAATATCGAATCTTTATGTTGTATACTTGAAACTAATATAATATATGTCAGTTATATCACAAAAAATAATAATTTTTTTTAAAAAGAAAAGTAGTAGAGAGATTCGGCATAGTCAGGGAGCCAGAATTGAGGCCACATGGCCAGCAATGGCAGCCAGAGTCCTGACAAATGGAGATGCGTGCCTGCGTCAGCAGCACGCAACACTCCTCAGTGCCTGCTTCCCACAACGGCACTTGTGTAGGCATGTGAAGAGTCAATCCTCTTCTAAAATGTTTTAAAGTAAATTCTTGTGTGACTACACCCATTGTCCTTTAAGTGTCTATAACACAGCCCATCTTCAGTACATAGACTGTTATAAAAACATTAGGCACCGTGTAGCGTTTTGCCTTTTACCACAACATCTCAAATATTTTTGTGTTCTCTCTTTTCCTAAGTGTGAAAAACCCTCATTGAAAATCACCAGAGAGAATAAAAGGACTGGAGATGGGGTCCCCCTATGAAAGTTGAAATGGTAATATCTACTACTGATTAATTGAACAGTTAATAAAGAATTTATTTATTGTAATACCTCACAGACATTGTACCATATCCACACATATTTAGTAGCCTGCCTCTGACTGGTAAGATGTGATGACCCATCCTACATTCTCTGAGACTGAGTCTGATCTGTTAATAAATAGTTGCAGAAAAGTCCCGTGCTGTATTCCTAATCAAAAGACTTCTTAATATATTGGAATAACACTTTTTTAGTAAGCAAAATATCTTATTTGGATTCACAGAATGGAATTGTTTCATGTCTCAGATTTCTTTTGTATTTCTTTTTTAACATCCTGCATTTCCCTTGTGTTTTTTAATTCACGCACATGCGCTTTTTGTACAATTTTAAAAAGTAATAAAATCTAACAAATAAAAATGATTAATTTTCTTGCTTGCATTATGTATTTGGCCTAAAGTGTTGGAATTACAAAAGGGGGACAAAGAGGGATTGTGAATACATACAGAAGTTCACAAGATATTTTGTATTATTTTTATCATGAAATTGTATTTTTCTCTTAGAAGTACTTTCTGAAATAGCCTGAGTACTCTTATTCTGACCTACACTGTGAAATCATTGCCATCATTTTCCCTTTTTGTTTAACTAATTTGAATTGGAGTGAACTAAATTATATTGTGAGTTATTTTTTTAAAAAAAACGTGAATATTCACTTAATGCTTCATAGGAAAGCAGAATATCTATTAGTTTTCTTTCATTCATTTCTTTCATTCAATAAAATTCAATTGTGTGTAGAGATAATGGTGCTTGTTTGTGTGGGAACTGGCCATTTGTGCAGATCAAATCAGGTCCATCTGTACTTGTTCTAAGAGTGGGCCAAATGACAGAAATGCACTTAGGAGGCTGGGGTCTAACTGGGGTCTAAGCACTTAGGAGGAGCTTCTTATTGTGGAGAAAGGGGTAAGAAAAATGCTGAAATAAATAATAGTGTTTTATGTCATTTTCACTGTATTGGTCATTTTGATAGACATTTCTGACTTGCCCGGGATAGAGAGAGCACCATTTTGCACACCTACAACAGTGAAGGTGAATACCAAGAGTGTGCTGTCAAATGCCAGGACTTTGCTAACCTGACAAGTAAAAACTAGTCTCATCATGGTTTTAATTTGTTTTTCTTTTATAAGCGAAGATAACCCTCTTTTCACATATTTAAAGTCTATTTATATTTCTTTCTCTGACATGTCTTTTGACCACTTTTCCCATTAATAATACTAACAAGTATGATACTCATTGACACATGTGTCTGTGTATTTCGACAGGCATAGGCATAAAACAAAATGGCAAAAAAATAAGTGATTGCATGTTTCTATTTTCTCTAATGAGTCCTTTAGCGGTAAAAACTTTTATATATTAGAATTAAAACGTCTCATTTAAAATTGGGAATTTGTAAAATTGTAAAATTGGTTTCTTTACAATCAGCTTGTTTCTGTAAAACACGCTCTTTTGGAAACTGAGTAGAGGTTCCCATTTGGAAACAAAATAAGATGAACCAGGTACAAGAAAGATTAAATTTAATTAGATCTACTCCTTGATTCTCATAAATTTGGTCAGACCTCTTTAGGCCAAATACTTGGTCCTCTACTTAGAGTGTTGGAACTATTTCTGCATTGGGAAAGCATATAAGTGGAAAGAGGAAACACGCAAATCACTGAATGCTTCGTGTGGTCAATTTCACTGCTGGGGGGCACCACTAAGGAGCATCTCCTGTGGCTTCAAACTTCTTAGCAACTTCCTTCCCAACTCAACCTGGGCTGCCCTAAACTGGGCAGTAGAGGGTGAACAAAGGTGGCAGTGGAGGAGACAGAATGGGTGGCAGGAGGATGCTGGTGTGGCTGATGGTGTTTTATTTTCTCAGGCTTCTTTTGTTTACGTGCTCTGTCGAATGTGGTTGATTCGTGGAAAATGCTCAAAGTCAAACCAGCCCCTCCTGGTTGGGACTGTGCATGTGGTGAGTAGGGTGTTATAAGATAAATTAAGAACAGTTAAACCACAACCAACTTTGCTCACTTTTAAAAGGCCATAGCTAATGGAAAGAAAACATTCATCTACATATGCATGTAGGCGGTTGTTCATACTCTTAGGCTGTGGGGATGGGTTCCCTGCATTTTATATAGAGAGTTTACTCCAATGAGCTACTATGTGAAGTTGGAAATCTTATGCCCAGACTGTTCAGATGCTTCTTTAGTCCATCATGACACTGTTCTGAAGGGAAGAGCAGCCAAGACTTCTAGTAGCACTTATATAATCCCTAACATTACACCAAATATCTGTGCTTTTCCGTGGTATTTGATTTACTTGGGATGGTACCTTTGGTTTCATTTTCTCAGTGTAGACAAGGTGACATAAAACCTGTGCCCGTGAACCTGGTAGCATGGATGTTTCATAGATGTGGGCAACAGTGATGCACCTTTTCCTTCACAAGGGAATTTAGCAAGGCCCTAAATTCAACTGTGTAATTGCATGTCACATACTGAATCATGTAAGTCCCTCTAAAGAGATAAAAAGACTTTGGAGCCAACCTGAGCAAGGCTTAATAGAGGACACTAACATCAAATAGATGTGTGATTGGGGTCAAGTGGAAGAGGGCTGTTCAGAATGGGTTCCCAGGCTCACAGACTCAATCTGTGCCATCCTAGGAAGAAGTAAAGCTCTATGGTTGCGATCAACACTTCAGGCTTTCATAGTCTGACTTTACGGCTTTCTTCAAATCAGATACTTCGTTCTTCTCAGTCTGTGCTCTGAGAACCAACTTCTGGGTGAGCCTTGGCTTCCTATGAGAATTGGCTGCATCCCACTGGTTCAGTCCACAAGATTGGAAACAAGCCAATTTTACAAATTCCCAAGTCTATGACAGAGAATTGATTTTATACAATATTATGCATTCACCAGTGAAATATGCAGTCGTCTTTGTGTTCCTATATGAGAGCTACAGGATGTATAAGAGAAATGCAAAATAATGTATATTATATAATTCTTTTGTGTACTAAGGAAGGAAATTAGAATATATATATTCACATATAGACGTGTATTTATATAAGTGCATTCATATCTGCGTACTAAAAATTAGAAGGATGCATAAGAAATAAAAGTGTGACTTGTAAGAGGTGGGGCAGGTAGAGACTGGTTGAAGCAAGACTTCTTAATGCATTTTTTAGAATGTTTCGATTTTTGAACCACATGAAGGTATTATCTAACAATTTTAGTGGAATTCTATGCATATTATTTTTTCAACACTTCTTGATTGATTTTCATTTCTTTAAATACATTTTTTGAAGATGCATAGTAATCTGTCATATGACATTCTTTAGTTTATATTTTTAGTTTCTTATTGGACATTTGCGTTAATTTGGAGCTGCTATAAATAGCACTACAGTGAATGAACATCCTTGCACATAAATCTTAGTATATACCTTCCATTTCCTTAGGAAACTGATGGGTCAAATACTTTCCAGGTTGTAGCACGTTTCACACTTGTGGAGTGGGATCTGTGATAGCTCCTCACTGCCTGAGAACCAAGACAGCAGTGCTAGAGCTCAGGAGCTATTTCAGTCACTTGCTGGCCTCCACCCTGGCTGCGCATTACAACTACTGAAGGAGGTTTTTGTCTTCTGCCTGGCCAGTGATGAAGTCTAGGCCTCAGTGATTTTTAAAGACTCCAAGAGGAGAGTCACTGGTATAACAGATAAAGCAGCAGATTTTAAGTCAGACAGACCTGGAATCTGGCACTCTGTGTTTAACCTGGGCATGTTCTTAGTCTCTATGGGATCTAGTCTTCCCATCAGTGAAATGAGCATGATTCCTGTACTGTGGTACAGTGAGAGCATTAGAGTATGCAAACTGCCTGTCAGAATTCCTGATGCTCACTAACTGGTAGGTTCTTGCTGTTACTCAAACAAAATGAAAGCAAACAAAAAATAGCCTAAAAGAACATGACAAAAACCGTGCTATTACCCAGATGTTTTTTCATGGATAACGAAATGAGTTTCTAGCTTTTTGGCTGAATTGCATCATGTTTGTATAGTATCTCTGGTTATCACGCATCAGAATATCTAATTGGCAGTTATATATGACCTTGATTAATATAAATGTAAAAATCAAGTATTACTTAAATTGCAGCTTGCTTGATTGACAGAAAGCCTTTAAAAAATGAAGTTTATGAGTAAAAGAATTCCAAAACAGTAGAGAGAATTCATAATGGAGAAAATTTTGAGAATTGTTGCATTGAAATTTTCCTTTTTTGTGGTTGAGAAGATTATGGAGTACTCTAGTTTCATAAAGACTGTTGAGACATGGGTGCTTTTATGTAGAATTGTATAAATCTTTGCCTAATTTTTCTATTGCACACCTGTGGATACAACCTGTTGTTCTGGTATTTATATCATCTAACCATGTGTCATGGACTTTAATTACAGAAGAGCAATCGGTAGGTGGGCAGTCAGCATATAAAAATCTTCTCAACACAAAAAATTATGTTGCAAGTTAGCCTATAATCCTCTGGTTAAATGCACAGCATAGGAGCAAGGAAAGGAAAGGTGGACATGTAAAGAGGCAGTTCTCTTTACCAGCTCAGCCTGTTTAAGGAAGGAAATTTGCCTGTCTAAGCTGAAACTAGAAGTAACCTGTTTCTACTCTAGTAGCAACTAATATAGAAGTTAAGAGCAGAACTCCAGTAGCCTGTCAGCTTGGGTTCAAATCCTAGCTGTTTGTTATTAGCTGCCTAAATATGGGTATATTCTTTACCCCCTCTTTGCCTCAGTTTTCCCATTTATAGATCAGAGATGTTTGTATATATATAGATATATAGATATATAGAGATATATCTATATATCTATATATCTATCGATATATATATATACAAAGAACCCTAAGATATATATCTATAGTTTATATCTAAACTCTCTGCAGGGAAATAAGATCAGAGATGTTTGTCAGGGGTTGTATGTGTGTGGGGATGGGGAGTATCTCCTATTTCTAAAGAGCTACTAACAGCTGCTAATGCTATTGAGGATTTAAATGTGCCAAATGTTATTAACTCATCTAATCCACACAATTCCAGGAGACTGAGCACTGTAACTTTATTTGCAAATGAGAAGATTGCGGCACAGAGTGTTCTCATAGCTTGCCTGAGGTCACACAGATACCAATACTAGATCCAAATTCAGGCACTTAGGGTTTAGAGTCAAAGTGTTTAACCCCTCCACCAAACTGCCTCTCCAGTGTCAGTGCAGTCCACATGGGGTTATCATGAGGATCAGTAAGCTTTGATGCTTCTGAGACACTAATAGAGATCTGAGCACACACGGTGCAAATCATGATAGATGTTATAATGTCACCATCGGAATGTCTCAAACCAAATGAGTCTTACTCTGGTGACCTTTGAAAAAGAAGTAACCTGGGCACTATCATTTGGTTCTGGTTCCTCTTGGAGCCACTGACCCAAAGAAAACATCATGACCACTGTCTCAGGGAAAGAAATAGAAATGTAGAATTGACTGTTATTACAAACGCCCCTGAATTTGATAGCTTAGTTGTCATGCCTTTTCTTACCTTGGACTTTCAATTAGATTTATCAAATTAAAATACATAGACAGAGTAGACTTTTGATTTTTTAAATTTATTGTTCCTATTATGTAAAAAAAAAGTACAGAATTCAAGTAGCAAAGATGGCGGCTTCAGGGTGTGTAAAATGGAAAGCTTCAAGGCAGCTATCTGGTTAAAGAGTACCAAGGACCATGACTAGAAGCTGCATGCTGTCTGTGCTCAGAAGTCATGATTACTTGGCTGGAGGAGCTAATAGAGATTATGAAGAGAATGGTGCTAAAGGCTACTCCTTGGCCCTGCCCCTGAGAAATGGCAGAATTTGTTACTGTTACAGATTGAAATTTTCTGGTTGCTCAGCAGTTTGAAAAACTGTTGTGCAATAATGACATAATAAAAAAAATGCACATGTGAACTGAAATAACCTAAACCCAGAAAGAAATTCTAGCTAGATCCACAGCAGACATCTCAGGGACAATAAATGAAGAAAAGTTGACCGCTTTGTTCCACCATCTGTTATGAACTCTTTCCGTTGCCACAGACTGCTGTTCTCCTAAACAGGCAGAAGGCGATGATGGCAAAGTAGATCATGCTCTTGAGTAGGAGGAGGAGGTAAGTGTAGTAGGCAGAAGTGTTGGTGAACTGCAGCTGCAGCATATCTAAGAAAAGTCATTTGGTTAGTTTCTCTTGCTATTTTTAAGGATAAAAAATATTAATGGAGAGGGTCACAATTATTTATTTCTTGTGATCTAGATTGAAATGACACCTCCATACCGCCAAACCCCAACAGTAAATGTCTACCACCATCATCATCATCACCATCAAGACAACTCAGAATCCAGCTTTCAAGTCAACAAACAACCTCTGCTAAATTCACTTGGAACACTCTAAAATATTAAAAAGTAAGATTGCGTTTTTAACGAGTACATCCAAAAACATATTTGTGATAGTTTTTAGCATTTTTTCACCCCTATCCTGTCTCTAAATAATAATAATAGCTAATATTTATTAACCACTAACCAAATGCCAAATGTTTATTCTGATAGCTTTGTGCAAAGCTTTAATCTTATATAATTTTTATAATAACTTATGAAATTATTATTCATCCCCATTTTACAAATAAACTGAAGATAGAGAAGTAATTTGCTTGATGTCACACATTTCTTTAGTACCAGAAAACAGATTTCAATGCCAGCAATGATTTTACAGACCACATTCTTAGCCACTCTAATTCTGCATTTCCAAGTGCAATAAATACTCCAGACATCAAAGGGTCAAGCATAAATATAAAGTTGAATTGCTGATTTAGAAACATCTGGGCCATTACATGTGCATTCAGTATGATTCCTACAAAGGGTACAATCCATGAAAATGTGGTGGTGTTTACGGTAGGGTGAGTGGGAGATTTTACTAGAGAGCATTATATAAACTGGAAGAAAGTAGTTAATCCAAATTCTCTGAAACTTTAGAAGGTAATAGCTCACTCACCTGTCTTTCCTGAATGTCTCTCATTGTGGCCGTGATCCTAGAGGGGAATTACACTTAATATCCTTTGAAGTTTTGCAAGAAATATATGATGTCAAGAAATAATTAACAACAGTGATGGTAGGTCACACTGGCTACTCAGTGAACCATAAGGCCAAGTCCTTTCTTGTGGAAATTTCTCTTTTACGTGCTTTATTATCATAGAGTCAGAACTCCAGAATTATTAGCACTTGGTGTGGAAAGACACCTCAAGAGGTGATATGCTCAGAACTCCTTGCCTCTGGTCAGGTAAGGTGTTAGCTAAAGTCCAAAGGCCCCTTGATATTGGAAATGGAGGAGAGAACAACAAAAATAGAGCCAATGCTTCTAGTTACTTTCTTTGCATATGTGTAGGGAGAAAGGGCCAGAAACTAAATGAGATATCCTCTGCTAGACATTTAACATATGTGACCTTATCCCTTCAATAACCAAGTTAGGTGTAATTATTCCTGGTTGACAGATGAAAAAAGTGTTGCTCAGAAAATGAAAGTACCCATATACATACAACTAATAATTAAAATAACTATGGTTAAAGTCCAGTATGCAGTGCTCAGAAGCCCATGTACTCCCTGCCTCTCAGCCACACATCCATTGTGTCTCCAGGTCTTAGCTTTGTGCTTTCTTGCTCTATGACTCTATCTTAGAAGAAGAATAGATAACTGAGTAAGTGTATGAACTCTTGATTCAGATGGGCTGAGTCAAAACCCCAGATCTAAATGTGTGACATGGGGCAAGGGACTTAATTTTAGTTCACTGCCCTCATCTGTAAAATGGGAAAAAATATATTCTACCACTTTATAGAATTATTATGAGAATTAAACAAGAAAATGCATTCAAAACAGCACAATGCCTTCTCTATAAGCAGCTCTCAGTAAATGTCAGTTCATGTTATTAACTACTAGCAAAAATCAGACTTAAAAAAATCTAGAATCAACTTGATATCATGTTCTCCCTAGTTATTAGAAACAAAGCCATATAAATAAATGAAGTCTATTATTAAAATAACTCCAAAAATATCACTGTACCCTCTAATTTACAGTCATCTTATACCAAAATCCAGCATTTACTGTGTTAAGATAATGACTGAAAAATGATGGATTGGCTTAAAATATCACTCAGTGTAGTCTGCAAAATCCAGCCATTCTGATTTTTCTACCTTAAGCCAGAGAAGTTCAAAAGTTAAGTTAGTCAGAAGGGAAAAATGCTATAGAATGATATAAAGGAAAAAAAAATAGCTTAATGAACAAATTGACTTGTTGATCAAAAACTTGTCATGATGCTTCCTGTGTAACATTAATTATCTCCTGAAAAATCTTACCACTTTCGTCTTTCAGACAAGCTTCTTTTGCATTATTAATAGCAGCGACCTCTACAAGAAATGAAAGCAACTATTAATCAATTGTTCGTATCTATTATTTGATAATGTGTGTCTGTGTCTTTGTGTGGATAGATAGATAGATGATACATAGATAACAGAAGATAAATGATGATAATAGATGAGAGAGAGAGAGAGATGATAGATAGATGACGATAGACAAATAAAAAGAATCTTTCGGCAGAGAGAAGAGAGTCATTAAAAATATGAGCCTCACAATTCCAGATATAGTTGCTCAAATTCTGTATAATTCAGTAGATCTAATTCACATTTTGTGTTTCTGCACATGAAAATATTGATATTAATTAAGGATACACTTTTTCTTTTTAATCATAACTGGAGGATACTATCCAAAACCACCTTGTTTCCCCCTGCATTCATATCTCCCAGCACAGTGCCTACTGCAAAAGTAGCTGATCGATAAATACTCATTGAATAGAAAACTTAAACAGAAAAAGGGCTGCTCTACAGTCTTCCGCACACACTGTTGACACGAAAGGTTGCTACCAAAATAAGTGTATTTAATCCTAGAATCCACAACAGAATCTTATGTGGTTGAAGGAATCTGGTTTAGGCAAATTCCCAATCTAAGCAAAGGAGAGCAGCCATACTTTTCCAAATCATGTATATCCCCAAGACCCCTAGATCACACACATAATTTTCTGGACTTGTAGTATTTGTGAACATGACAACAATATTAATAAAATCTAATGTATTGAGTGATTACTATTGTGCCAGGCACTGTTAAATATTTCGCATGCATTATCTTATTTAATCCTCCAGTAACACTGAGTGAGTTGTATTTCAGAGGACTTGATATTACAGATTAGAAAATTACCACATTAAGAATTTTCTGAGAGTCATACTGATGACTGGCAGACCCAGCATTCAAAGGATTGTTGTAGGAGATTAAATGAGAGAGAGCACATGGAAAGTGCTCTGTAAAAATAATCCATACAAATAGCAAATAATCTATAGAGAGACAATATAATTCCACCACTGTGGACACTAAAAACATCTTCTCTTGCAGATATCTTAACTATGCTTTACAAATGAACTTTTTATTATGGGAGCTCTGCAATTCTTTCAAGGAACAGAAAAATAGACCAAGTCACATTTATAGTTATCTGAATATATAAAACCTGAAGTGAAAGCTGTATTTATCTACAATGTTTTTTTTAAAAAAGCAAATATACATATAAAGACAGAATTTCTTTAAAAGATCATTGATTGTCAGATGGAGGAAAACAGAGTCACAATGATTACTTTGGTTTATCCTTTTTCTACTAGATGTGTTCTTGTCCATATGGATATAGTTCTGGTATGCAATTTTATGTACTCAACAAGATCTTTTTTTGGTGTGCTCTAAAAAAAAATAGATTTGAGGTATATAGGCTTCGGGGTAAATCCCAAGATTGAAAATGTTAGTATAATCATGTTTAAATATTAAAATATCCTCAAGGACTGACTTTAATGTGTCTTAAAAGTCTCTTTTCCTCACAGTGACTTTATTCATTAAAGGATAAACAAAAATCTCTTATGACCACGCACTGATTGAGGTAGAAACAATAAAGTAACACTTTTCACAATAAAATCTGTGCATGTGCCTAAGTTCTCTTTCTAAGTCAAGGTTGGTCAAAAACTTCAACCAGAATAGTTTTATCTCTCTTCAAAGTCACTTCATTTATTTATGCTTCCATGCAATATTTTTAGCTTTTATCAAAAACAAAACAACAAACAAAAAAATTCCAAGAAACAGCGTTAGAAATTTGCTGTAGAATGGCATTAACGGAAAAGTCCTCATTGGCTTTGTTGCCGTGAGAAGCCCATGGAAGACGCTTGTTTCGGAATTTAAGTGCCAAGTAAAACACATTGTAAACTGGAACTTTTCTCTTTTATGATAATCATCACCATGAAACTTACTACATTTCTTATTTTTCCCTGATTACTAGAAAGATCAAAACCTAATAGGACTCTTTAATATAACCTAATAGGTTATATTAAACTTGCATATTGCATATTTGCTTTCCCTCTGTTTCTTAGCCATAGCAATAGAAAATTAGGGCTGTTTTGGTAATCTTACTTTCATTTTAGGAATGGATATAAATAAACATATGAATAAATACATCCATGTTATATTTTCGAAAGCAAGCATTTCACTGACATTATTTCATTTGCTCTTCATCACAGCCCAAGGAGGAAGCCAAGGCAAGTGTTCAAACTGAATTTGATCACTGGAGAAACTCAGGTCTGAGAAGATAAAGATTTCAGAAATTTAGACTGGTACACAGCAAAGGCCTTAGCACATCTTGTTATGTGCTTCTTCTCCACAGTTTAAAAGGCGCTTGTTAACCACAGGGAAAAGTACAAAAGGATTCCTTCTCAGGAGAAATTCCCAGGGTCTTTGGTCTGTTATGTTAATATTCGGAACTTTAAGTTTTGAGTCTAATGACCGCTGCCAGACCTCTGCCGGAGCCCAGGCACATTCAGCCCCCTGCCCATACTGTCTAAATAATGTGCAGCATCTGCATCAAAGGTACTCCTTTGGTACTTCATGCCTGAGTCACAAGTGGCCCTGAATGATTAGAAAAGAGTATATTCTCTTTACTGTGTACATCCTCCTTGGACAGCAATTCATCCTGGGGTATTTATCCATGCATCCCTTCCAGGCCTGGCACATGGCAGTACTGCAGTACATGTTTGTTGAGTGGCATTTACCAATGGCAAGAAATGCATTCATCATGTAAAATGGAAATATGTTTCTACATGTTAGCCTCACCCAAACTTTAATTATGAAAATTTACCTTATGGTATTATATAAAATACAAAGCTGAAAAACCTAAGACCATAATAAAACTGCAGTGGTTAAATTACTCTATTGTTTTGTTGAGCCTCGATCTGGCTCCCTCAGATGGACATTTGTTTATGGGCTATTCTTTCAGTATAGGAAGACTGAAGAGACAGTGACTTTGCCTGCTGAGTAGAAGATTCCTGAAAGATGTGTAGTTGTTCTTATTTCCTGATCAAATAAAATAATCAAAGTGGGATCTCTTTTTGAGTGTTTACCATGTGCTAAACTGCTAGGTGCTTTCAAGTATATTGTTTTATTTAACCCATACAACAATCCTTAAAAGCATCATTGTGACCTTAATATTTTGGCTAAAACTGATGCTGAATAAAGTTAAGCAGATTTTTCTATTTCTTTTTCTTTTTTATGTTCCAAAGCCTATACTATTTTAATTCTATGAGGAAATAGCAGGACATTTATGCCACTATTAAATGTAGCAACATTTAAGAAATATATATATTATTAAAATACATATATATTATTAATACTTGACAAAAATGTGGGGCATTCTCTTTGAAAAAAGAGGTTCTGAGAGGTTATATTTACATTTATATTTATATTTATATGCACATACCTTCCTTTATTGAAGAAGAAAGAATCTCTTGATCAACTCCTCTTTTATTATTCTCATATTTGGCCTTATATTTGTGTTCTTTATTCATTATTGAAGGAAAAAGAATCTCTTGATCAACTCCTCTTTTATTATTCTCATGTTTGACGATACACTTGTGGTCTTTATTCATTGACTTTGCAGTCACGGTCAGCCAGCTGAACTTCATGTATGTGTCATTAATCTTGATGGTATCTCCCTGCTGGGATTCCAGAATTGTATTGCTGTCCTTTTCCTTCCAAGATACCTTAATAACATCAGGGAAAAATTTCTCAAGAAGACAAAGATACGTTCCAGCCTTATGTAGGTTTATTTCAGCAATTGAAGGAAGAAAAATAGTGGGCTTGGGAGAGATGTCTGAATTAAGCCTTCTATCTGTGGAGGAAAATAAAAAAGCAATTAAGAAGAATTATTAGAGAAACACAAATATTCTGTGGTTTGGAACAACCGAGCACATAGTAAAAGGAAGAGAAGCTGCCTTTGAATTAGGGCTTATTTTGGCTTTTCATCCACAATAGATTGTGAGGTACTTATTATTGTTCTTATTTTCCAATGGGAAAAGAGATACAAGAGGTCACATAACCTGCCCCAAATCACAATCATTAAATAGCACAGCCTGAATTAGAAGTTAGCCATTGTTCCTCTCCACATGCTAAGATGGAGTATGACTTTTAACTGCTCTATATCAAGACTTCCAACATTTGTCAACATATTTAAATTTTTTAAATCTTTTTTTGTACTATCATAGTGGAGCGTGTTTTCAAGGTGGAGGGTGGATGGCAGGGATCGGGGAGGAGACTGGGTAACTTATATGATCTCTCTCTACAGATGAGAATCTTCGATCACTTCTAAAGCACTTCCCTTTCCCATCCCATGAATTTTGTAACTTAAGCTCCCTTTGGCCAAGTAACACATTCTCGTGTTCCACAACTCAATGGAAACTCACTCTTCATTTAACTGATTCTGAAATGCACCATATTATCTTTTTTTCCATATAAACAAATGCCAGGGGTAAGTTTTTTATTTTTTCTAAACAATATACAGTCACTTGTTTTAATGAGACTCTACTTCCACATATACTTAACGATCTACCAAGTTGATCTTTTAGCTTAAATGTGGACCCCATGCCCAGTTCTGAAGTAATGAAATTCTCCTAATTGATTTCTAATTTTATATAACATCTTAATTTCATGTCTGAACCACTCCAGGTTTTTGAGTAGGGCATTATTTAAAGCTGCACCTCCAAATTATTTATGATGACTTAAATTTAGAAGCAAAATAACAATATTTCTAAAACTTCTATTAAAAATTTTATTGATTATTTTCAGAAACACTCATATTAATATTATCAAGGAAATGCCCTTAACAGACTTTTGTTTCACTTCAGAAAATGTTTACCAAAAGCCCATTTTATTTTGTAATTTCATATGAAGTTTAAGCATGACTAATACACCATATTTTGAATACACCGTATTTTGACTCAGTGTCTCCCCTAAAATTTGTATCTACTCTGTAACACTGTTGAGCTGTCTAGAGCTCCATCATTTTGTTTTATTTTGTTTTTATCTATTGAATTATACACACACACACACACACACACACACACACACACAATTGGTAATGTTATAAGTCACGGTTTTAGAGTTTCTTGCAGGCGTAATATCAAAATACATAACAAAACATTACGTATTTACAAAGGCATTACTTGATTATACATTTATTTTTAATCTAATGACTGAAAATATAAATGTTAGAACCTTTTCCAATTTTATTTCCAGTTGAAACACAAATATTTAATATTATCTTTGTGCTAGCTTAGAGTTAGTTTAATGATTTAAAAGCCATTTTTTTTAAGAAAAAAATTGTATTTCTCATTTGAGAAGAAAAGGAAAAAAAATTCTTGAGAATTTATGCCTGTGTAGCAAACTCATAATTTTTATACTAAATCAGTATGCGAACAATGTTATTTTCACTCATGCTGCAAATATAACTAGGTCATAGTGTGCTTATTTTAATTTTATACAACTTGCTTTTACTGAAATAGTATTTTATTGATTGTAACGGTAAGACACTGTATATTTCTCCAATTACATATTTTGTTTTTAATTTTAAAAGTATGTTATATAACATTAATTTCTCAATTGTACATTATATTTACATAATTTTACTCTAATTAATATATTAAAGAATTTAATTTTCATCTTAGAAACTTTTTTTCTTCATAGTAATATTTCAGATTCATTATACTAAAGAAATTGAAAATTAAATGATGAACTTGGAAATATTCTGTGTGGTAACACACTATTCTTATCACCTGTCCTGTTTCCTTAGATAGATTCTTTGTCATTATTTCCAAGATAAAATGAATCTTGAATTTCCCTAACTTTCTTAATGTAATTGTTAACTTGAATATTAAATAGTGTACTTGATTAAAAATGGTTAATGTCCATATTTTGGATAATTGTATCACATTTTTTCTTCATATATATTTTTTAAACTTATTAACAGTGTTTTTTATGTTTTTTTTTTATTTTCGTGATGAATATAACAGAAACCAGGTTAAAAAATAAATAAGACTGTCTTGTACATTTAAATACATTCATTTGTATAATCAAATAATACGTTTGAGTTAAATTGCCTGCGTTTAAATTTATAAGATGAAGTGGTGTAAATTCTATGTAAATTTGCCAAATGTCAACTAAATTTTCAATTGAAAATATATTTCAAATCTACATATTGATATTAAGTGTTCTCTACTTTTTATTGTCATTTTTCTTTTATCAAATAAGTAGTAATATTAATTTATCTTTATATAAAAATTTCAAATTTATGACATTTCTAACTATATTTAATTGACTTTGCATAGTAATTATTTTCTGTATGAATTTGAACTTTTTTTCTGTTAAATATGAACATAAAGTCAAAACTTGGCTATAAAATTTATTGGTTATAAATTTTAGGACCAATAAATGTTGGTTATTATAGATGATATCAATTAAGATAAACTATTTATCTTAAATACTACAAAATATAAATTTAGATTTAAAGCATATAGTAAAACAACAAAAATTAATAACACATGTTAATCTCAATATTCTTGCCAAGTAAGGGAAAAATGATTGTAAAGAGAAACAAATACCTCCAAATTCTTTTTTTTTTTTGAGCAGTTAGAAGTACAGCTAAATTCTCTGGGGAATTTCTGCTCTGTCAATATTATTGGCTGCAAACAGCTCTTCATACTGAATACAATTCTCCTTTTACATTTATTTGAACTGGGGAACACCTATCCAGCACTTATTATGTCTTAGACAATGTGCAAGTGTCTTATTCATATCATCTCAATCGATTCTCATGCAATGCCTCTGGATACATAGTTATCACATTTTATGGATTAAGAAACAGGACAGGGAATAATTGCCCAAGTTCACATAAGCAGTAAGTGGTAGAGCCAGAGCTCAGGTCATCCTGATTCCAAAGCACAGGCTCTTTCACGACAAATTTCACCATCAGAAAAGGAAACATGTCAACTCACAAAACTGACCTGTAATAATAAACTTTGTCTCTGGGCCAAACACTTCTATGATAATTACATACATTATACATGAGCATTTCATACAAATCTACATGCACACAAAAGCCAAATCCTGTTACAATATTTTCAAAATGTTGTTGTCCATATGTGCTTTCATTACAAGGATTTGTTTTACAATCTCTCCTAAGATTTCTGCCTCAAATCCCCATCACATTCCTGTTTTTCTTAAATCTTCTTATAATTATTCAAATTTAACTATTTCTTGCCTTCCTTCTATTATCTTGAAAAATTGCATTCTTATGATACCTACCTGTGACAGCAAGTTTTGTTCCATCACTGAAGAGTTTTCTATGATTCCACAGTGATCCAACCCATATCAACAACTTTAGACTAACTTAGCCTCTCCGAGTTTTTCAAATGTTTTTAGAACTATGATGGCCTGCAATTCAAAAGATCAAGGTTCTGGTCCTAGTTCATTTTGCTCATAAGTTATGTGGCTGAGCAAATCAAGTAAATTAAAGTTTTTGGTGCTTTATTTATCTGAAGACAGTGATGTTAGTATAAATCAATTCAATATCACTACAAGTACCAAAGTGAGACCAAAGTGAAACAAGATTTAAAAAGCAATTTGATTAAAATGCTATAGAAATAAGAGATTATAATAATTATTAGCAATTTGATTGTGATGACTTTGTGCTCCAATGTGACATTTTAATCTCATGGGACCAAACCTTGGCCTTACTAATAGAAATTCAGCATTTTGAAGTTGTAGCTAAAACTGAGGCAATACATTTCACTTTGCTCTAATATGTTTGGAATTTTCAAAGTCATCATCACAGCAAATGTGCCTTTTATACACCTAATTAATAAGCAACCATTTGCCTTGTCTTATCTGCATTTTCAGTGTTAAGAAAATCAAGGGGAACATTGGCTAAAGCCTAATGACATGCAGTAAGTATATGGAACTGTTTCATTTGTGTTGTCCAAAACAAACAGCTCTTTCCCCAATCAAAAGCACAATCTAGTTGCATTCCAAGCTTTCACCAGAAATTTCAGCCTCAAACTGACACCTTTCTAGCTCATGATGAAAGTTCAGCTCAAAGCTCCTGAGAATGGGTCTTTAAGCCAGAATGAGTAGAGGAATGGCAGGATGCCTGTCCTTAAGTCCTCTTACTGTCACGTTAGATCGCTAAAACGTTACCTGCCTGACCATGTCTGCTGAGGGTCACCATCTGTGAATGACATTAATGTTATAATGCCCATAGCCTTGATGCAGTGGATTTATTTAAAGACCAGTTCTTCCATTTTATAAAATGGACATTGAAGACAATATTCACTCCTTTACTTCACTTTCCTCCTAAAGCAGGGATCCCCAACCCCTGGGCTGAAGATCGGTACCAGTGAGAGGCCTGTTAGGAACCAGGCCACACAGCAGGAGGTGAGCAGTGGTGCAAGCTAGTGAAGCTTCATCTGTATTTGCAGTCACTCTCCAGCGCTAGCATCACAGCCTCAGCTCCATGTCAGATCACCAGGCATTAGATTCTCATAGGAGCACCAGTCCCCGGTGCCAATAAGGTTAGGGACCACTGTCTTAAAGGACTCGTGCACTGAAATCCTTTTTTAAGTTTATAGTGGGGAAAAACATCATATTTGAAAATTTGATGTACCTCACTTTATCAGTTAATAAAAAGTATGTATCCCACTACATTTTCCCTATTATTTTTCTTTTTTATTCATTTTTTTAGTGAGGTATTACTAACATAACTCTCCTACCTTTGAACATAAAAGTTTACCCTATCCTTTTTGCTAGATAATTATAGGCCTTTTTTCTTCTGCTTTCTTTAGTGCTTTTGATTGTCTATTTTTATTTTATGGTCTGACCATAACTTGTGTACTTGATTTTAGGTCATCTCAAACAGATTTTAAAAATAGACAGTTTAAATAAATGACAAAAAGTGTGTGCATTATAGCTTGTTTCTTTTTCTGTCCCAAAGATTGATAGTTTAACAAAGCCTAATTTGAAGATGATGTGAGGGATGGAAGAATATGTTTGCAAATGTTAGCTCTGTGACATAGATGCAAAACTGTGGAATTCAAACAGACTGAAAGTGCCAGAACATAAGGTGAGGATTTCTTTCCCAAAATTATACATCACAAAACAGGAGTTGCCTTATATTTCGGTCCTATGCAACCTCTCATATTAAAAGATGCTCTTCCAGTACTCTGCTTCGATCAAAAAATACTACTTGGATAAGCTATCAACCTGAAATAAGTTAATTTTTAAAATTTATTTTAATAACTCAATTAATACTAGTTTAAAAGCAAACACTGGTAAAAGACAGCAAAGAAATTTAACATAGATTTGGTAAATATTATTTGGGACTAAAGTCTCTACAGTTTATGCTTATACTGCACATGTATAGAATAACAATAAATGAAAACAGTGCTTTTCTTTTATGATATAAATGGATAATCATATCTTCAGATTAAGTTTTCAGAGATATCATCATATGGGAATCTCAAAAGAGACATTCAGATCCTGAGTTGACTTCTAAAGTTGCTCTAAGGTAGATGTTTTAGATGTATGTGAAGAGTAAATGAAATTTTTAACAAAATGTGAGGACAAAAATAAATCAATATTTCTCACCTGATATTTATATTGATATATTTTTAACCTTGTAGATATAATCCAATTAAGAAATTAAATATTATAAGTGAATATCTGACTTTTATCTATATCTCTATAAATTTATGTATGCAAATTACAAACTTTTCCCCGTTTTTTCCTTGATATTTTCACTGGTAAATGAGAGATCACCTAATATTTAGGCTAATAATATTTGACAATGCTTATCATATTCTAATCATTTGTAAAAGCAGGTACTAATTAGTCTTAGAAATTAAAAATATTTTGCAAATACTGACCTTTTGTTCCAAAGTGAGATGTAGACTAGATGAGAATTAATACACTTATCTGTATTCTGATTTCATAAAGAACTCCAATGGGTGGTACTTTGAATTCTGGAGAATTCACATTTTTATCACCAAACATGCCCAACCTTTGTGGTTGGTAATTTCCATGTTTAATTTCAATGTAATCCTCACAACAGCTACTTTAATGGCTGCTGCATAAAAAACTAAATGATGAAAATATCAAAATGTTAACAGTGATGTGTCAATATTAAATTTTATTTTTTATTCTATTTTTTGTATTTTCCAATTTTTTCCATAATAGACTTGTAGTATGTTTTATAATTTTAATAAAGCAATAATCACTAAATCAGAATTTATTTGCTAAAGGATGATTATACAGAAAGTGAATGACCCAGAATCAAACTCTATAATTTTTCTTGAATTATACTCTCCTAAAAAACATTTTTCAGGACCCTCATGAATTTTATCTGTGTTACTATTTTTAATTTTATGGCTACAATTTACATTGAGTATATAGTCAGCTGGAGAAAGAGGACCATAAAGTTGCTTTTTAATTTATAAATTTATTTGTTCATATGATCACAACCACTAAGGGAACCAAAATATATCATTTCTTTCATTATTTTCAATGCCTTTTCAACTTTGTGAAAGTTCTTTGAAAAATTTTGAGTGGATCTCCTTGTGAGATGTTGTCCCTCATTCAGGCAAAATTTCATCTTTAAGGCTAATGAACAATGACGATACTGGACTGAATTTAGGAAAAAATAAATCCAGCTTATGACATTCTTGAATATGGTCAAGCACTTAAATGTTTTGATATATGATATCAATCATCTGCTACCAAATGACAAATTTAGCAGATTTTGTTCATTTTTTCCAATGTTTTTGTTTTTGTTTTTTTGCAATCAAATAAATAAAATATATAATCTTCTTTACAAATATTTCGAAATAAAAATACCAAATATATCTAACATCTCCATCCCTTAAAAACTTACAGTTGCTCTAACTAGTTAACTTCTTATCAATGTCCTCTGTGCTATGTCAGGCAGACAACTGTCCGCAAGGACCTGAATGGGGTCACCAACCTCTCCAATGATTCCGCTGTGATTCATGACCAAACTGGGACAGAATCTAAGAATTCTGAGCCAGCACCAGCACCTAGCCTGCATTACTTGCATTACCTGTCTCTCCTCCCTATCGTAACTGAAGAATTTAATGAAAATTAACCTGTAACAATGAGCTGTGTGCCAGGATTAACACTTGATTCTCTGGCATCCATTTGCCCACTATCTGAAAAGTCTTTATAGAAATATCCCTTGATGCCTGTTTTAAAACTGTGCCCATGTTTTTCCATATTTACATAAATATATAAAAAATTTACCCTGCTAACATTAAACCAAGATGAACCTGAAGCAAAAGCACATTAGATATGAATGTAGTCAAGAATAGAAAAACTGAACCCTCTCTGTCTGGGCAGCTTAGGTTACGTCTTTTCCCATATCAATTCATGTTGGAGAGTATAATTTTATCTTTTCTCATCATTTTGCCTGAATCTCCTCCCTGAAAAGATTTTCATGTATTAAGTCAGTTCTTTTCCCCAGAGTGTAGTTTAGAGTTAATATTTCTTTAATTTTCAAAGAGGAACAACAGTAGAAATAAAATATTTGAGTATTAAATAAAATATTTGAGTATTTAATAAATGTATTTCAATATGTTTTACAGGTATTCTGTATTTATATGTGTTGAGGGGTGGGCAAATGAATTGATTCTAAAGTAACTTCTTTCCAGAATCTAATTCCCATTGATAGTAGATCAGATGAGCTGTTACAGAGTGTGAATTCTTAATGATGGTCTCATAAGCTATTTATTGCTGAAAGACTGCTCCTTTGAACTTGAAAATATCCTTACAGTTTCCAGGGCATTGACTATAAATCCTGTGCTGCTCATCAGAGAATTCTGTTCAGTTTGGTATTTCTGTCCCATCATGAGTAGAAAGGCAACTCTGAGTTACTCAATTTAGTTAGTAATGCAATTTGGTATAACTACTATAGTTCTTTTACCAGCTACAATATTTCTAGCAAATATGATGCCAATACAGAAAGAAAATTGAGTGGAATGGTGTCAAAATGACTTGTCATTTTATAGAAATACCCTAAGAATCACATTTTGAATATTTAATGAATGCATATACAACATGATTTATTTGATCTTTCTTTTTGGTGAGGGGGAGGTAATTTATGTGTAATGATTAGAAGCAGAAGCATTGTTTTCATGCATGAGCAGTAATACAAATTATGAACTATTACTAATTAAGTAGTCAATTAAAGAGTCCATTTAAAAGGTCAGGCTATAGAAGAGTAAATATTCAGAATATGAAAACCTGACTTAATGTTTCTAATATCACATGATGGTCCAGACCATGCACTTTGGAGTGGACAAGTCTTTATTGGATTCCAAACTTTGCCATATTAACTAGTCATGTGATCTTTAGGCAAATAACCAAACAACTTTAAGCCTCAGTTTTCTTATCTATAAATTGAGAATAAGATGATCTCCCGTATAGGGCTGTTGTGGAAAGAGATAAGGCACTGAAACTATTTAGCATAGTGGCCTTCAATAAATACTCACTACTATTAGTCTATTTAATGGAATGGTTTTTGGCCCTTTTTTTCAAATTTTCCCACCAAACAAAATATATAGATTTCATAAGCAATAAATATTAAATAAATTAAGGAAGAAAACAAGCTCAGGAACTCAAGACCTTCTGCCATTCTGGAAACTGCAGTCCAAAGAACATGGGGACCAATCAAGCCAGCATCTAGAATACTTATCCACTAGACTAGAAAGTTTTTGACTGTTGGGATTGTATCTTGTTCATCCTTTATCTCTAGCACTCAGCACAGAAAGTGTCTTTTATAAATGTCTGCTGAGAGAATAAATGAACAAATGAGGATGTAAAACCATGTGAACTCTTCATGGTCTTTGGAGCTGAAATGGTTTATTGAGTTTAAAGTTCCATTAAACTGGCCCATTTCTAGGCAATATGACAAAACTTGTGATAGCATATATTTTGACTGATCTCAGTCTACCTTCTAAAAAGCTAGAATAATAAGAAGTGGAATTTATTGATGTTCTATACTCATTTACTATAAGAATTAAGTTTGCCCTAGTGTTAGGGATGATGAAAGCCAATAATATAAGTTTTGCAGATTATTGAGAGAAAGAAGCTCAATGTTTTAACTCAAAATATAGAGAATAGATAATAAAAGTTTCTCTCAATTAAAAGACCATCTACAAGAAAAGTATCTTAAACCAATAACATATCAATGGGTTACAGACATGGTTCTCAGGACATTTTAATTTCTAGTTTGAGTCTACCCTGTGTGTGTGTGTGTATGTGTGTGTGTGTATTTTAAAAGAAGAATTTGAATCTGCTTATAAATAAATAAATAAGTAAACCATTTACAAAGTAGTTTTGTTTCCATTTACAGTGACCAGTAGCTGCAAAATTGTTTTATATGCTGAGGCCAAAACTGTGGCAGTCAGATACGGTCGAGCCTAAATTTTTATCTAAAAAGCATCTATCAGTTTTTTATTACTAGAGTAAATATAGGAAAAAAGTTACTTACCAGGAGGAGTTACTATGAGTTTAGTTCCTTCGGCAAATATCTTGATCCATCCTGAGCTATCACACTGGTTACAGCTCCTACAAAAATCTCACCCTTCTCCATGACCAGAAATGAAAAATCTATATGCTGTCAATTTGATCTTCTGGGTTCCTTTGGAAGTCCTCGAATATACATTTCATGACATCTGATGTTTCATAAGTTTGCCTCAGAGAAATTGACCTAAATGTCTATTTTCTACCAAGGCAGTAATCATTGAAAAGCACTGATAGAAAATGGAAAGAATAAGAGCAGGAAAAGAAGAGATTAGGCTTAACTGCTCAACCAGCTGCTTCTCTAAATTACCAGGAAAAGTATTCAGAGAATTAAGACTTTTGTATTTCCAGGTGTTAAATTCTGTGAAACTACTCAGAGATTACATCAAAGGAAAGGCCTTTCTGTTCTCACAAACACCAGGGCTGCTCTGTTAGCAATTTAGGAATGTATTTCTGAAAGGAAGAAACTCTTCAGAAACTGAAAATGCAAATCTGCCAACAAAAATACACTTGCGAAATGAGAACAAAGTTCTCCATTTTTAATAAAGCCACTTTTATCATTTGGCAATGTGATTCTTTACCAGACGATGCCAAATGAGAAAGTAATTTCTGCGATGATATCAATTTTTGTGGAATAAAAGAAATTTGTAGACTTCTATTTCTTATGAAATAATAGATTTTTTTTTTTGTAGTAAACATTTGATTGGTTTCATCAGCAAGTCTAGCACAAATTTTCCTGAAAGGAAGTCAGAATCAAGCTACTAACAGGTTCCTGAGGTGTGGGGGTCACTTAGGAGCTCGTCACAGTCATTGACCCCACTCTCACACCTAGTGCCCAGTAGAATGAAAGTTGGGTTGACAGAATGTAAAGAGAGAGAAAAGGAATACAGGGCGAGAGAAATACAGGCCTGGCCCATACCTCTGCCTGCAGGAAGGAAAAGGGAGGGCAGGAGACTCCTTCTATGAAAGATCTGGAACTATGTATTCAAGTTTTCAACCTCATTATATAGAGAGAAACAAGTGAGCCTCTCTCTTGTGGTAAGAACCCCTCTCCAAGTGGTCTTCCGTCATCTCTGTTCTTTCTTCCCCTTTCTGTATTCCAAGTTCTGCAGTTCAAACCTAAGCTCTGAATTCTAAGTTCTGCCTTCTAGGTTCCCAGTTCTGAGTTCTTGTTCCTGTTCCATTGTTTTCTGCCCCCAGATCCTTCCCAGCTCCCATTTCCCAGCCTTTCTGGGTGGAATATGTGGACCTTCTGCTGACTTTACTAATTTGAGGGCTTTTCCTTTTACTTCTGTGGCAGTTCTAGGCTTTTTCTCAGCTGAAGAGACTTGTCTCAGACTGTCAAGCAAGAGGATGGCAAATAAAGACAAGAGAATTCTTGAGAGCCTGGCCTGGATTGACCTCTTCCCTTCCCACTCCTTCTCTAACCTCTGGACGCACTACCTTTTGTACAACTAAAGCTAAACTGAGGGTTTCCATGGTGATAATTAGAGACTGGAGGCCTTGAGATAAGGAACCTTAGAGGTAAATGTGAGAAGACATAAAAGATTGCTGTTTTTCATTCAAAGAAATTAAAAACTACTTCCAGGACAGGGGACGAAGAGGGTGGGAAAGGTGAGAAGGGTCTAGGCAGAGCTGCAAGTCCTCAGAACCCTGTCATCCTTCAGCTCCCCCTTGTCTGAGCTGAGCACTAACCCCTAGAGTCCTCCCAGATCTGAAAGAAGGCCTAGACAGCAGGACTGGGAGCCCCTCTGTCGTGGCTGCTCTGAGAGAGAAGGGGAAGGAGATGGAGTCAGCAGCAGCAACAGCACTAAAGAGGCAAGATCTTCAAAGGGACACTCCATGTGTTGCACCAAGGGGACTGTGTAGTAGACATTTTCATCCAAACCCCTCTTCCTCCAGGTAGCGTTTCTAGTCTCCTCCTGAGGCTGCAGGTCTTTATAGGTCCAGAGATGGTACACAATGTAGAGCCCCACTGTCTGCCAGAAGAAGCCGCCCACTGCCTCCTGATTCTCCTGTTGGTACTTGATGGCCTGAGACCAGTTGTTCTCCCACTTGATTATGGTTCCTGGAGTGAGCTGGTATGTCCTTAGCTCATAGATTGTGGGGCCTGCTCTGGGCTGTGGCTCATTCCAGAAGTCAACTCGAGGAGGGTCTGGTTTTTCCCAGAGAGCAGTATCTAGCTCCACTCCTTTAGGAACTCCAGGTACTCCTCATTGTTTAGAGCTTGTTCATGCAGTCCTTGAGGGCTGAGTAGCCACCTGAGAATCACTACAGGTATACTGTCTGGTCGTGCTCCCCGTACCATGTGTTCCAGTTGCCCACAAGCAAACAGGGGTAGTCATTATCCAGGTTGGCTTGGGCAGCACAGCCTATGTCAAGCTGTTGTAGACAACCAGACACTCGGGCTTCACATTGTGAAACTGGATCTTGTAGAGATCACTGGTCTCCTTCTTGGACAGTAGGGTAGAGTGGGCATCCTTCTGGGGAGCCACCTTGTGAATGAAGAGGGAGAGGAACCAGCTGCCTTCATTGTCCTTGAAATCGAAGTGCGCCACAACCTCAGCTGCAATGTCCCCAGCACAGGCCTGGGGGCCCCACAGCAGCCCCTGCGCCACCGCAGAGATGCTGCATAGCTGTGTAGCCATATGGAAACAGAATAGATTCCTTATTTAAACTGAAATTTGAAAAGAAAATCCAGTTCTCTAATATGCTGAAAGAAGAAGACTCTTGGTAGCTGTTCTATAGTCACGCCACTCATTTTGGATCAGCGGTAAAAGAAATTGCGGGAAGCTGCTCCTTGTTACTCAAAGCATGGAGGAATTGTCTGTCTGCTAGGCTGCAGAGAGTACAAACCCTGATGATTCCCAGGTCCATGCCAAATCCACTTTATCCTGGCCTAAGTCCAATCAGCAAATATTGCCTCTGCCCCTGAGAATAAAGGTATGAGGTGATCATAGTGGACAAACAACTGTCCATTCACAGCACATCACAGTCCCCAACACAATGAGAGAAGATAAAAGGCCTGGGTAAAAATTATTTTTGAAAAGCATTTAATTTTAACTGAGAATTCCAAGTTGTATTACTTGGAGCTGTCAAATACCTTTTACACTGATTGTATACACGAATGATACTCATTCAATCCCTTTCTAATAGTTTGTCCTCTGTTTGTCTTTATTCCAAAACCATGAGCAAAATTATTAGGAGCTTTAGGAGTTATCTATATTTCAAGATCCATGAAGAATTTAAGTAATAAAATGCAAAAGAATTAGTCATCAAATTTTTTATTAAATTTACAAAAAAATACTAGAAATATGAAGAAAACTACAAGATTTTACAAACGAGGATAAAATAAAATCTGAATAGATAGACACACTATATCCATGAAGGAAAAACTCAATATTATAAATATGCTAATCTTTCCTAAATTCACATATGTAAATTGACCATAATTCCAATCAGAATTACATCATTTTATTTTTGTTTTATAATGTAAAGGTTGAAGATGGGCAAGATAAATTCATTTTGAATGCTAATGAGAATAAATATGAGACGACCGAAAAATAAATTTTTGAAAAATAATAGTGAATAGACTTTTGGCATAGTAGATCTTAACACTTACTACAAAGCTACAGATATAATATGATAATGGTATAAGAATAATAAACAAAATAAAACAAATCCTCTGGAAAATTCTCCAAGTGTATGTTGATATTAAAATATGATATGAAAAGGAAAAAAATGGTGTAGATGATAGAGGCTTTGTTCATTCCTCTTGCAACCAAATAAAATTTGTTACAGAAATACCGAGCAAACAAGGAAAGTCGCCTGGGACCTAGACAAACAGAAGCACTACAACTAGGGAGAGAAATAATTAATCAATCTGCAGCACAGAGGTAGGATGGGGCAAAGACGCAAGGAGAGGGCAAAGCTCCCTGGGTCCCAGCAGCTGAGTGGATCAGAAGCTGCAGCAGCTGCAGCAGGCAGCTACAGATGCCTCTTAAAGGGGCTGTGTCCACAAGTGGACTTTCGCTGTAACAGACCTGCTCACTCTGAGCTCCAGTGCCAGGTAGGCTGTGCGGGAGGCACTAGGGACTTACAGGGGACACTGAGTTGTCAGTATGAGGTCCAGAGGCGAGTATCTCTCCCAGGCAGAGGTGCCGTGCCAGCAGTATCTATTGTTCTTCTGTTGAGTCCTCCCCACCTCCCAGTGTGTGGACACAGTGCCACCATAGCTGAGAGGACATCAAACTGCATAACAGAGATTGCTCTGCCCAGAATATTCCCTGAAACTCTGCCTCCCCCAACTCGTGGCCCCACCCAAGTCACATCCAGGTGTGTCCTTGGTAAGTCAGGTGCTTCTTGCTGAGCAGTGCCAAGACCCAGAGTGGTGGCAGCTGGCCTCAGTTTCTGGTGTGGTTTCTTGAGGCAGCTATAAGCACAGCATCTGTGGATTACTTGCTGATTCTGGAAGCCCTGGAGGGGCACAGGCTGGGGCTAAACTTGGCCTGCAGCTGAACCCTTCTTAGGACAGTGCCATTGGACACCTACTACATAAAGTTGCACTGATCAGACCAGGAGACTTAGGGGCTTTGCTTAGTACATAGAAACAGACACAGAAAGGCAGCCAAAACGGGAAGACAAAGAAGCAGAAACCATATGAGAGAACAGAACAGAGATCCAGGAATAATGGAGTGAAACAATCTAACAGATGAAGAGTTTAATACACTGGTTATAAAGATGCTTAATGAACTTATGGGAAGTGTAGATGAATTCAGTGAGAACTTTAACAAAGAGATAAAAAACATAAAAATAGAAATAGAAATTATAAAAGGGAACCAGTCAGAAATGAAGAACACATTATCTGAGATGAAGAGTGTATTAGATGGAATAAACAGAATGTATAAAGAAGAGGATTGAACCACTGATATAGAGGATGGGGAAGCCAAGAACACTCAATCAGGATAGCAAGACAAAAGAAGACCAAGATTAAAATAATAATTTAAGTACCCTATGAGA